ATATACAATACGAAATAACAACCAAATGTATGGCCTTTGAACCCAATAGTTGCCCAAACATTTCATTGCAACTTCAAGAGTTCAGAATCCGTTTTCTTAAAAAATCCCGGGCCACTTCTTTTGCAACCTCCGGTACGCGAATAAATCGAGTGGAAAGTATGAGCGATTCGAACGGCGGCGTAAAAAATTTCAAAATCTAGCGTCGGTAACCTTTACGAGGCAGCGCGGGATATTTTTCTGACCCCGAAGTGACAAGACCCGCGCGGAATGCCGTACACGAGGCCCGATTAAAAAAAAAATGCGGCTCGATAAGACTCGTGGAAAAGTTCGTGTTCCTTAACCTCTCGCCGCTGCATTTCTATTAAGAGGCGGGCCGGCGCTCCGCTGATCCAATTTAGTTTTCATTCACTGTGAAACCAAGAGCAATTTGAAAATTCTTTCAGCGACGCCCGCTTTCGCGTTCAATCAAACCGCAATTTATTCTGTTTCGTTCTGCCGGTCGCGGAGCTTTCCGTGTCCCAGCGACGGTGTTCCGTCTCCTTTCTTTTTTATTTCGTTTTGCTCCCGTTTCCTCTCGCCGCGCGATAAAGAAAACCACAAAAGAAGAGATAATTGTTTAAAGCGGGCAGCGGGCTTTATATTATAAAAGTAATTTCCATCGGGATTGATTGATATTTACCGTAAACAGTGGCCGGCCAGGGAAGGTCCTTCTGAAGGAAATTAGCCCGCGGCGCGTACGCGATAAAATTCAACGTTCGAGAAACTTTAACAATGATTTATGGGCCTTTTGTTCTCATTCGGGGAACTGGGTGAACGATATTTTATTGTCGCGCTGCAATTGGCTGTGGAAAATGGGAATTTGCGTAAACGATTGTAATATTTGATAGGACTGTGTTCGAGCAAATTGTAAGTTAATTGTTGTTCGATGATAGCGTGGAGGATGTGGAATTTTAAACGAATTTTTTAATGGGTTTCAACTGTTCGAGGTATGTTTCTGGGGTTTTGTATATAGGGAGGTGTATGGTTTGACGGCCATATTGCGAAGAATTACTTTCATAGGAGGATCGATGTACCTTCAAAGTAGAGTTGTAAAATCTGTGTTCGACTAGAAGTTGTTTGTTAAATTTCGAAGTTTCTGTAATACAAATTGAAACTTATCTATTCGTGTCACATTTAGTTACACTTGACAATTTTTGTTAACGTATTAAATTAATGTGAAGTTAATTTATCGCAACTAATACTGTTCGTAAGCAATTTAATACAAGCTTCTACAAAATCGAAATCCAGATTACTTTTCATGTATCTAGATTATTAACATAGAAACTGCAACTTTACTTATCTCCATTTTCCAATAGAATTTCTCCACTCAGACAATAATAGTCTATTTATTTGTTTATTACTCACAGACCACACAAACTACGCACGATTTACATCAACAAACAAATAAATAATCACGAAGTCTCTTACCTTGCCAGTTGCTCCAAACTATCAGCCTTCCTCAGCGTCTTTCACGTAAATTCACTGGACACAAACGTTCCTCCGCGCGTTCATACTCGAGTTGAAAGTTCAAATCGTCGGAAAATATTGCAACCAACCCCCAAAGAATTATTTACTCCCAAGATAAGTGATTTCGTCTAAGAGAATGGAAACAATCTTCACTTTTCAATCGATCGATCGTCCTCCCGTGAATTTTGACATCGATCAGCCAACGATTTATGGATTAGCAAACGATGTTCGATATTTCGGAAGCAGCAGGCAACGAAAGGGTGAAGACGAAGGGATGGTAGCCAACGGAGTAGAAGGTGGTAGCTTGCTAGGGAACGTCGAACGTCCACGCTGACATCGAGCGTACTACTACCGCGGTTGAACTCGCGATATGCCAATCGAATGAGATTAGAACAACTTGCTTCCAGTTCGTCCCTACCATGAGGTTCATCGGTTTTTGCACCGCGTCACCGCAGTACTATCGAAATTAACTATTTCCCAGTGATCCATCTATCCTAAGCTTCATGGAAATTGCTCTGAAAATAATGTGATTCCAGTTAAGTATTCTTGCAACGTTTATAAACGACTACGAGGTTCTTTGGTTTCTGCATTGCCTTACCACAACTCTGTCGAATGATCATTTGTCAATAATTCAGCTGTCCTAAGCTTTTCTTTTAGTTGTTTTGGCAATTCTTTATAGTTAAAATATAATTCTAGTAAATTTTACAAATGGCCGAAAGATAGACTTAGTTTTTGCACCTTGTTAGAGCAGTAGCGTTGAAAGTAATCGTTTGTCAGTAATCCATCTGTTCTAGATCTTTTGTCAAATTATTCTGCTGTTTTTTTATATCTATAATATAATTCTAGCAAATTATTCCAACAAAGTTCGCAAACCACATTGACGAAGATCTCCATCGGCAGTCCTCTCGGTAATCTTGATTTTCTCTCAACTTCAACTTCGTTGGAGATCGATTTTCATCGAGATGGTCAGACGACGGTTCCTGGGAAATAAAATTAATCTTCTGCGAGGAATCTGAATGCTGCAAATTTCTTCCGGAATCAATATACAATTTCCACTAAAACATTGGATAAACATGTTTTTCGTTATTCAATATTCTGCTGTGTTGCAGGTTTAAAAATTGTAAATAAACTACGTTCAATCTGGACGAATATTATTTTGCCAGTGGATCATTTCACATCATCAGAGTTTTTGTTTGTGAGATTTTGTTCGGTCGTGTTGATTGAAATTCAGATGAGAATGTAAAAAAATATTACCTGTGCATATTCTGCTGTGAAATTTCATTGTTGTCGAGTTGGTGAAATTTTTACAATGACTATTTTATTATTAAAAATCCTCTAATATTCTATGAAATTTGAGATTTAAGGGATTAGATTAAAAGAAATAAATGTATGGTTACTTTCGAAAGTCTTTAATTATATAATTATCACCATTCGACAGTGGAATTTTGTGAATAAATACTAACAAGGTATTTTTCAGCAAACATTTTTTCAGCTTATCTAGTTGTACGTAATGAACGATCAAGTTGAAATTACAGAAAAGTGGACAAATTTTAATTCGCCTCTTCATTCGAAATTGCTAAAGTTGCAGTCGTTACTCACAGCGATAATGTATCGATAATGATAATTCAAAGAAAATTCCAATTCACTTATGTCATTCCTTACATTAGATATTAGAATGATCTGCGCACATAAAGTTGCGTTTCGTTGTGTAAACCAGAAAGAAGCTCATCGATCATCGTCTCCCAATTTGTATTAAATCTCCCAATTTGAATTTTCCTTCTTCTATTAACAATTTTAGCCAATGAGAAACGAGTTCCTGTTGAATCTTGTTTTTTCATTCATCTTTCAATAACCTCGTAATTCGTTAAATTGATAAATGCAAAGTTTACTAGGAAGAAGCTCAACTCTGAAGTTCAAATTGAAGATACATGGGCTGACAACACTGAATTTCATAATTTTCAAACACTCGACGCGTGAATCTGAGTGCAGCTGAGCCACGATTAAAATGACGAAGCGAGAGAGTGTGGTCGACTGGCTACGTCACGACGGATTACCGTGACATTGTGCGATATCGAAGATTAATAAAATAAAGAGAACATTAAAAACGTTTTACACGTGTTCTCTTCTATCGTTTCAGTGACCCAAAGGTCAATTTCAAGCTAGTGCCCGTTGATTTAATCTGGGGTCAAGAGACACTTGTATACAGGGTGGGTCAATAAAAACAGGACAAATATTCTTGTTACTATTGAAATTTAAAGAGAATCATTGTAATTCATTAAATTCACATTTAATCGAGATAGATACAAACATAAAAATATCGAATATTATTCAGGAAAGTATCAATGGTCTTGAATCGACTTTCACCATTATTCTGAATTCTTAATGTGTAAAACATTGCAACATATTTGTTTATCTTCAACGACAATAGAAATATATGAGTATCGTATTATTATTGAAGCATTCTGTATAGTTCAGCATCTTCAATTTTCATGGTAAATGATTTTCATTGAAATTTTTGCTAACTAGTTGAATTAAATAAATATATACATAAAATAACTGTGTAACAATAAATAACAGTGCTGAAATTCTATTTATTAAAAATTAAATCAAAGTGTGTGACATGATATTTAAAGAAATCCAAGTATGTGACGTAAAATTAATGTTATTTGTGAACAACGTTGAAATGATTATAATGCATGTGTCGGTATATATCCTCGTAATAAAATGTAAGGATCCATAAAGCGTAAACGCAATTTCAAAAATGAATTAATTACGAGAACGCAATAGAACGTACAGGGTGATTTATGGCATGCCAATATAACTTTTGGAAGCATACATAAAGCGTCGATGTGTACAGAGAAAGATAATGCAGCGCACAGAGTGTTTTACAATTTGTAATCGACACCACGGTGAACCAATTGGACACACAAACACGGCGAATAAATTGATCATGCAAACGGAATGAATTTACCGCGAGAAATTATGGCCAGAAGTTATTTTACGATTAGTATAATTTATCGTAATGAGAGGGACTCGTTTTGGAAATCAGTAAACAACACTGAAGGCTTGTAAAATATTAAACTTCAAGTTTGCAAACTACTTGAATTTAAAGCTTGTAAAATCCTCGAAGTAAATTATAAGTCCGTACCTTTACAGAAGACGATTGATTAATGAGGAAGCATTTAATTAAAGCGAAGCATATTACTTTCAGTTCGCATCATTTCAAAATAACAAATCGTTATATTATATTATCAAAAATGACAACATTCAGAGGCTTCTTATTTTGAATATAAAATCATTAACTTGTTACAAGATTTACGTACAAGAGAAAAATTCTATAAAGTCAAAGTTCAAATTTTCCCTGCATAATTCAGTAAAGCGTAACGAATTATAGAATTTGTTTAAGAAATAAATAAAATTATTCATTCGGAGATAACAAAAATATCACTCGATTCTTCTGAGTTCAAATTAAATATTCTATTCTATCATTAATTGTTATACTTTAAAGTAAACACGCATGCAAATGAGTATGCGAATGTCCTTTGTTTTATCATAGGACAAGGGGTTAACCCTTCGCCTTACGATTTATTTCGTCCCACATGTTAATGCTTAAGCTATTTCATTTTGTCGGAACTCTATGAACGTAACAATTACAAGGAAAACTGAAATACTATAGATTCAATCAAATTTCTTCACGAAAATAAGAAAATCATTTTGGTTACGATAGGACAGATTTGCAAAATGAACGTAAGCGACCAGCACACGTCGATTTTGATGAAACTTATGTGAGACATAGTTCTCAAGAACATATTTGACATGTATTTTTTCTTATCGACCAACATCCACTTTAAACGGGTGGAAATACTCCTCAAAGTTAAGAATGGAAAGTATATTTTTTATAGTATCTCTAAAACTGGGAGGTGAAAGAAAGAAATCTTATTGAATTGATCGCCTGAAAATGAGCAATTTAGATTTATTTTTTGCACCCCCTAGTTTCAGAGATGTAAACGATATATTTTCAACCCTCAACTTTAAGGGATGTTTTAACTTAACGTAACTTAAAATATTTTCTTGAGAGCTATGTCTCGCATAAGTGTTTCATTAAAATCGCTGATTGAAAAGGTTCCCTCGCCAGACATGCTACATCGTGATAACGCAGTTGACACGATTCCTCAAGATTGTCGAGCTTAATCAGACGGCTAACGAACAATCAACGATGCTTTTCCTTCGCACGTGATCCACGGCCGCCGCACGTGCGTCCAGCACGTGGTCACGGATGCAAAAGCCCCGTTCACGTGCGTCAGACACGCAAGCAAGTCCAGAAAACATAGCGGTCGTACTGCACACGGGAAATTAACGTCGCCATTGGGACGCGTGATCGTGATTAATCAACGGCCGACGGGATCGCGAATTATTACTTGGATCATTAACTCTCCGCGCGACTCGGGGGAAATTGAAATTATACCGCAGCCTCGTCGGCGATCTCGGAAAACTCTTGTCAGATCACTGAAACTGAAACCTTCGATTCAATTTACTTGAAATACCACTGTCAATTAATTCTCCTTTAAAATTTTAATATTCGTCAACCTTGTACGATGTAATTTGACTTTAATCGATTACCTAAATCACGAAAAGGTACAACCGTGTCATGGAAAGTTACTGTCAATTACTGAAAAGGTCAAATTCGATCATTTACAAGATTTACTGTAATTAATAAGGAAACTAACTGATGTTTCATTAAGTGCGAGTTGTATATTGCAAAATTTGGAAAGAAACTATTGTGGACTGATGAACGTTAAACCTACCGAATGAATAAATGTTAGTGTCATGAAAAGAAGATTAGTTGTACGTGAAATAACTTCCCTCTTTCCGTGGGAATGCCAAGATTCATTGTCGAACGTTTTTATTTTCTCAAGCGGCTATTAAGAGTCCCCGTTTTATCGCGGGCATTCTGTTCGTTTGCATCTACGAGTACTGGAGCGACGACAGGTCTCAAAGACCATGTTTGTTCCGGCCCGACTCGATTGTTTGAAGCAGATACAGAAAGGTTGGATTTTGCCGGGGACAAGGAGCCATCTTCCGCCCGGATAGCGGCATTTCAGCGCGGCGAAGATAGGAGATGCAAATAATGTTAGGAATGTCACGTATTCTTCGGGCAGGATTGCCTGTCCAACTTACGCTGCCAGCTGGCCGTTCTTTGTTTTATGATACGAAACAGAAGATAAATTTTGCGACCCCGACATTGTGATAAATCTGGACACGACGATGCGCAATCGGCATTAGGAGAAACGCTTCGTTCCGTATCTGTAATGAACCGCCTTGGAATACGATTTTAACAGATTGAAGGTTTGACAGAAGAAATATCGGATAATATTCATATAATATAGAAGTC